TTTTATGTGACAGACTGAAACATAAAAGAAATATATGGTTGCCTTTCTTCCAATGCACAGTGTTAATTGGAGTGAAAAAGACATCTACATTGTCTCTATCTACTCCATACGCACAGCAGGGCACAGCAAAAGATCAGTTCTGTCACAAATATCACAGTAAAAAAATGTTTTATGTTCATAACAACACCTGCAATGAAGCATAGATTTTTCTGGGGTTATACTGTTTCAGCTGAGACATAATTTAACACCCATGAGCTTATCTGAACTGACAAAAATGGATGTTTCCACCCTTTTTAATGTTCATGTACTTAAAATAACTGTGCTGTATTTGTGGATGAAAAACAAAGACATGAATAAAGGCTAAAGGAACAATTAACAGGTTTATTCCATGCTGAAAAGATAAGAAAGAAAACACAACGTTTCGGCTGTGGAGCCTCCTTCGGGTGTGAGAAAGACAGGGCAGACAGCAAAGATTAAATAGCATAGGATAGGAGAACAACAGCTGGGAGAGTGGAGGAGGCGGGAGCAGGGGAGAATAGAGAAGATTACACAAAAACAAGTCTGTCTGGAGCCCATAGTTTCTCATTTCACCTCAGACAGCCATGATCACACTGAACTCTCCTTCTGCATTCTCAAAGAAGGGTTTCTTAACTCCAGTAACAGGAAGACACCAGAAACAAAAATTATCCTGAAACTTGGGTCACACCTCCTCCCTTCTCATAATGACAGACTGTCTGTGTAATCTTCTATATTCACATGCAGGTTTCGACTTCACACCTCTCTTCACTTCGCGCCACCTGAGTGGCCTCTCTGCCTCTCCCCTGCTCCCTCCTCCTCCACTCTCCCAGCTTTCATTCTCCTATGCTATTTAATCTTTGCTGTCTGTCCTGTCTTTCTCACACCCAAAGAATGCTCCACAGCTGAAACATTGTTTTCTTTCTTCTCTTTTTATCATGGAATAAACATATTACTTGTTCCTTTGCAGCCTACACATGCTGATGCAGCTACCCATCTGAAAGGCTAAATTAGTTGAGTGCAGCATAGACAATTTCAGTTCATTAAAAGTATGGGTGCTACTGTTTTCTTTTGAGGTACTGTACTTTTTTCTCTGTTTAATTTTAATATATTAGGATAACTATTATCAATACACAACATATATGAAGTCTAATTTGTAATTGATATCCTAGTCTATTGCAAATATCCAAGAAATATGAAAAAAGTAAAAGATAACTACAAACTAGAAAAAATGTGAGCACTTCACTACATATTTAGGGTGCCCCAATAACATAAAATAATGTTTTAGCAAAAAATAACTGTTTTAAGCTAATTTTGAATATTTTTTAAAAGAAATAAAGGCATTTCAATACCTGTTCCTTAGATATGATTTAGATTAAAATATGAGACACTGCATATGTACATCAGAAAGTAAAAACTATTGTATAAAACATAACAATTTGGAAAGCTTCACATTTTTAAACATAAAAGAGGCTTTGAAAAGAGAGCTGCATTGGCTGCAAAGGAACGGATAGAGGTTCATTCCGTGCTGAAAGGTAAAGAAAAGAAACTGGCTGTAGAGCCTTCTTCAGGTATGAGAAAGGGAAATGGCAAAGAAGGTGTGTGAAGGTGTGTGAAAACAAAAGACAGAGAAAATGAGAATGAGTGAAGGGGAGTGGGAGATGAACACATAACAGGAGAGCATCTGTGTCCACACTAAGGGAGATCAGGAGAGGTGCGGAAAGTTGAACAAACGAAGGGAGATTAATTAGAAGGAAAATAATCTGTCATTGAGAGAAGGGGGAAGATGTGATCCAAGTTGAAGAATAATTCTTGTTTTGGATATCTTTCTGCAATAGGAGTCCTGAAATATTTTAAATCTAACATTTCCTTATTGTGTCAATATTTAAAACTGAATATCTAAAACCACTAATTCAGACATAGAAAGGCTATATAAAAATATTCAAAACATGTGAATGTGAAAGTTGCTCAAGATAATCCCAAAACTAAACAAATAAAAGGGCAAATATGGACTTGGAATAAAGAGAACAGAAAATACTTGGTGCTGCAGAAAATTTGATCCCGTGTATGCCACA